CCAAATTCATGACTCAGGCACTTTAAGAGAGACAAATAACCACTGCACAATAATCATTATCATATTAAGCACTGAGTATGAATGTAGTAGCGTTTGAAATCATGTGTTTCTAAGTGCAGTGATGCCTAATGCAGCATTCACACTGTGTCATTATTGATGGGCTAACCCATTAGCACTATAAAGGCACAAAACATTGATCATACAGCAGTGGGGCCTGTCCCACGTGCAACAGTGTATGTGAGTCAGAGGTCAAAGCCACAAGCCTGTGTCATTGGAACATGCTTTATTTGTATGCCTTTTACCTACATAGAAAATAGCAGCCCGGGGGCATTTCCAAACTCACTTGCCTTAAAGGGACTTTGACAGTAGGATAGAATATTAAAATGACCTACTACTACTTTTGCCAAAACGTGGAGAATATAAGGGAGCACACTGCACGGAATACTGTATCCCAACATGCAATGCACTCAACAATGTGCAGTTAACCTGAAGAGATGCATCAGTGATTTTTGGCATCTGCCAAAACCAAACACAATTTTTTTAGACAAAACTGAATTAAAATGTTCTTTATCTTTGTAATCAAATATATATTTTTTTATTATGAAAACCCTTATCATTTATCTCTTGAATGTCATGCGAACTTCATTCTATTGTATGCCATTTTTTTAGGCCTACTCTTTTTAATTTCATCCATCTGACTTATTCACAAAAACACAAATACAAGATTTTAATGCTTTAATGGTGTGAAGCATTAATGCTTTTCTTTGCTTATGTTCTGCAATAAAAAAAGGTTAATTTAAAAAAAGAAGAGGAAGAAGACTTTTGCCCATATAATAAAAATCAACTGGGGTCCAAAAATGGATATTGAACCAAACTGACTTTAATTGCATGGACAAAAACACAGCATACACAATTAAAACACAATCATACACATACACAATTAAATATCCAATCATCATTAATTTATCGATACCTATACATCTCTAATATCGGCCATTAAATGATATTTTACTGATAGACTGTAACTTGAACTTTCAAGTTTACAACATATCACACTGCACAGAATAATGTATCCCACAATGCAATGCGCTCAATAATGAAATAGAAGTCATTACAGCAGTGATGTAGAAGACATTTTGACACAAAATTGAATTAACATAGATGAGGGAGCACACTGCATGGAATACTGTATCCCAACATGCAATTGTAACGCTTTGACTCGGATAACTCGTTAAATCCATGAAATGAAAGAGATGGAAACGAAGAGTTGGTGTCCCACACATTTAATGGCTGGTACACGGCAAGGCGCTCCTCTCATACATGAGAGATTAACTCTTTCTGGGCGTTACAAATAAAAGTCAAGACAAAATAATAACAAGAAGGCAGAGCGAACTTATCATCCATAGTGGTTCTCATTACACAGGCACGTAGTCCTTCTACGTCATCACCACATAGCACGCGTTATAAGTTAAGTGATCAGTCTCTTAAAGGGCACACCGCACTATAATGTGATGCATGCAAAAACATAGTTTTGGCCGTTACACAATGCACTCAACAATGTGCAGTTAACCTGAAGAGATGCATCAGTGATTTTTGGCATCTGCCAAAACCAAACACAATTTTTTTAGACAAAACTGAATTAAAATGTTCTTTATCTTTGTAATCAAATATATTATTTTTTATTATGAAAACCCGTATCATTTATCTCTTGAATGTCATGCGAACTTCATTCTATTGTATGCCATTTTTTTAGGCCTACTCTTTTTTTATTTCATCCATCTGACTTATTCACAAAAACACAAATAAAATATTTTAATGCTTTAATGGTGTGAAGCATTAATGCTTTTCTTTGCTTATGTTCTGCAATAAAAAAAGGATAATTAAAAAAAAAGAAGAGGAAGAAGAAGACTTTTGCCCATATAATAAAAATCAACTGGGGTCCAAAAATGGATATTGAACCAAACTGACTTTAATTGCATGGACAAAAACACAGCATACACAATCATACACATACACAATTAAATATCCAATCATCATTAATTTATCGATACCTATAAATCTCTAATATCGGCCATTAAATAATATTTTACTCATAGACTGTAACTTGAACTTTCAAGTTTACAACATATCACACTGCACAGAATACTGTATCCCACAATGCAATGCGCTCAATAATGAAATAGAAGTCATTACAGCAGTGATGTAGAAGACATTTTGACACAAAATTGAATTAACATAGATATTAACTGCAGATATGCAGATATTAAAATGGCCAATAATATATAATTATTAGTATAATTAGTATAATTGATAGTATATGATAGTATAATCCCCATCATATTAAATAATTAAAATATTAAGATATTGAAATTCTTTATTTTGTGTTTGTTTTATTTAATAGATAGATAGATAGATAGATAGATAGATAGATAGATAGATAGATAGATAGAAATTTTTAATTTCCAAATAGATAACTGGACATCATTCTGATTATGATTTAATAAAGTCATGCCATATTTTTTAAAATATAGTGCAAGCTAGTATCCTATTCTGAACATAATCACTAAAATCTCTTAAATTCTTCAAGTGACCCTTTGGCCTGTCATAGATCCACCCTCATTTTCAGATAAGGCCATGTGAACCCTCTCTGGGCAATGCACCGTCACTAACTGTGACACTGCAGAGCTCACAGAGAGAAAAAAGCACAACTTCCAGCACCGTGGACAGATGGACAGACCCAGACCCCCCCCCCCCCCCCCACACTGCACTGTCCCATTCCTCCAGCCAACAGTTCTGACCCAATAAGAGAGAAACACAAACACAACATACTTCCGACTTTCCAACCAAACAAACCTCAAGGATCAACCACAAAACAACAGAACAATGCCTTCTGAGCCCTAAATTAGAGGAGCGGTGAGATAATGTCAGCCGTTCCCGCTGGAAAAATGCCCTATTACCAGGCAGAGGGATCTTTTGTCCAGACAGCAAACAAGCAGCATTGATTGTACTCGCTGTTTTAACCAGTGAGGTGGCCGATGTCTGAGCCGGGCTTGATCAGCCTCTCTCGCTCTCAAAGACGCGAGCAGGCATGTCGTTCCCAGGTGCCCTTCCCCCCCATCTCTGCCTGGCCATTCCCGAAGCATACATTTCCTTCTATCTGCTCCACACAGTTGTCATTATACATACTGATGTGGAGATGAACGTGTCCCCGGGATCATATACCTGAGAACCGTAAACACATGCATGCACAGCTGATCAAACATCACACATCAATCACACAGGGTGAACAGAGCAACACGCACTAGGTACAGGAGAAATTACTCTATATTACTAACAGTACAGAGTGTTAAAGTTTGTTTTGAGAGAAGGATCTTCTCCTTTTATGAGGCCTCATTAACCAATTCATTAGAATTAATAATAACAAAGGAAACTTTTACTGCTCAGAGATATTTGTCTGATATATTTAAAAAATGTGAATGAATGAATGAATGAATGAATAAATACAATTGGGTTCTTTAAGTTCTTTTATTTTTAGCGCTACAATTAAACCACTCCTTTGTTATCAAAGATATTATATTTTATTATGAAAACCCTTATCATTTATCTCTTGAATGTCATGTGAACTGCATTCAATTGCATGCAATTTGCATGCATCCATCTGACTTATTCACAAAAACAAAAATACAAGATTTTAATGCTTTAATGGTGTGATTTCACGTTAAAACTGTTTTTCTTTGTTTACGTTCTGCAATTTTAAAAAAAGGTTAATTAAAAAAAAGAAGAGGAAGAACAAGACTTTTGCCCATGTAGTTAAAATCAACTGGGGTCCAAAAATGGATATTGAACCCAATTGACTTTAATTGCATTGACAAAAACACAGCTATTTTACAAAACATCTTATTTAATAAAAGTCATATTTGGAATGACATGAAGGTAAATGACCATATTTAAATTTTTGGGAGAATGCCCTTTAAGTATCAATTTAGTCTCAGATGTTTCTTATATAATGCCTCAGGAGACATAAAAATTAGGCAGTCCTTGGCATACAGTAAAAGCAGGGCTGCCATTACATTTCACTGGGGCCTGGGACAAAATTTTTATGGATGGGCTCCACCACCCTCCACCAGGCCAAATGAGTAAGCTATATCAGAGAGGACCATGGTGGGCCCCCCTCGTCACAATCCCATCCCATTCCCCCTTTGGTACAAAGCTATGACATGAATGTGGACAGTATCTACTGTACAGCCCAGATCATTTGGTCTTGGAAGTATTTGATGAGAAATGCTCAAGTTAAGGTGAACCATTCTGGTAATGAAACAGCTTTAGTTGACTTTCATTGTATAGACAAAAACACTAAGTCATGTCTCAAACTATTTTCTTTTATGTTCCCCAGAAGAAATTCAGTTTTACACGTTTGGAATGAAATGAGGATGAGTAAACAATGACAGAATTTTCATTGTGGAGTCGACTATCCCTTTAATACTACCATAATCGCAGACTTTTGGTGTCTTGGCAAGACAGTTGAGACATCGAGATCTCCTCTGAAACTCCAGAGGGGACGCGTGAGATTTTCTCGCAGTGAAAGTCTATTAGGATGTCAAACAACAGCACTCCCTGTAACTGACTTTAATGAGCACATTTTAAGGATGAGTTGTGGATTTCTAAACTGCTTGAATTTGTTTCAGACAGATATGGGAATTTCATATCAAAGTTTGAGACATGTAACGCAAAACAACTCGGAGTTACAGACGCTGAAACCAAATGTGTCACAGCGGTCTCCCCTATATATCCCGACACGCACGCACCGTGTATGGGGGGCGCAGTGGGTCGGGGATGCCTAGAGTGGGTGTGTGTGTGATGTATTGCATTGCTCAAGCAACTGCATTCGCTCTGTCTGTAATGATATAAACAGCACGGAACCGGTGGACTCCCGGAAAGCCCTTTTATTTCGGACACACATAGGCCTACATAAACTTGTCCGCTACGGTCTGTTTTCATACCTGAGTAACCCGGGCAGAGGTATGGAGCCGGAGCCCGAGCCCAGCAATCCTTTCTTCCCACTCAACAGCTTCTCCACCAGCCCCACATTCCCGGTCCGCGCCGCCTCCAGAAGCTCCTGCTCCTTCCCCATCCCGGACACAAGTTTAATCCACGAGAACAAAAACAATCCGGACAGAACGGCGAGGTTTCCTTTTAGGATTTCTGCGGCATGTTACCGACAAACAGACGCTCCGCCGTGCGCTGCTGTATGAATAAAGCCGCTAGTCCATACCAGAGCTCAATGATGGAATGATGCACCGGATATTTACTGTAACACGGTCCCGGTGCAGCTCTGCTGAACGGGAGGTGATGGTCCTCAGACGGGCCGGTTGCCTAGAGACGCGGCTTAAATCACACTCACCAGCCGCTCTGCTCGTGCGCTCTGGGTCACCGTACACACGCTGTTCTCCGCGCGCGCTTTCTCTCTTTCTCTCTCTCTCTATGTGTGTGTGTGAGTGCGCGCGCCGTTGTACTGACAGCAGGGCGGCCCAGCATCTGTGTTTCTGTCTTTCGGTTCCTATATGGCAGTCTTCTATTACGAGAGGAGAGAGCTGCTCCGGCTGGGCGTGGAATCACGGATACCGAAGACTGTTACTGTAACCTTGTTTTGATTTCATTGGCGCACGAGGAGAAAATATGTCATATTATAAGGAACGTTTACACCCTACTGTGGTGGAGAGATTGTAATAGTCTACTATGGTACTCAATGATTGCCATATTAACGTAAACATAGCATGTAAAAAATAATGTAAAAATACCATGGTAAAAAAAACCAGAATATGAGCATGGAGAGAATGTGGGCTTCATGTAAACGTGTAATTGCCAAAAGCAGATGAAGCCAATATTCCTGTTTCTAGAATTCTGAAAACACACACACACAAACTGAATGTATTGTCAAATCTGTGGAGCATGATGTGCATTTAAACAGTTACTCACTGCATTTACATGCACAAGAATATTCCTACAATATTCTGGTCGTATTCTGATTATGTGTCATGTATACATTAACCAGATTTCAGTTTGGTAATCATTCAGTATCATTGTATACATGAAACTGTCACGAAATCACAATCCCATTCCATAATTGAACTGGAACCACCACTGTACTCTTTTCAAAGAGACATTTTTTAGCTATAATTGTGAAATACTGAATGAACACAGATTGCAGATATTCTCAGGTTTTGTTTACAACTTCACTAACATCTCCACAGCATTACTTCCTGTGCCGTTCAGCTGTGAAGTCTTGAAGAGAGGGAAAAAATGCTGTGCTAAAGACTGGAGGAACAACACAACAAATGAAAGAGATGATCTGGTGGGTGTGTGTGTGTGTGTGTGTGTGTGTGTCTGTGTGTGTGTGTAAGAGAGAAGCAGCTGCAGGCCCACTGGGTGTTGGACAGAGTCACTAGATTTCAGCTTTGCCAAGAAACAGAAACAACCGGATCTTATAAGGCAGTTGTGTGCAAGCTCTCTGCATTACTCACACAAAAACAAGCGGTTGTTCAGTGTCTATTTAGTTACTAACTCCAGGAATAAACTCGTCCATAGAGCAGCAAACAGAGCAGTATTCATCTGCCTTAATAGGCAATGCATAGAGTAGCACACTCAAACACAAACACACACACACACACACACACACAGTTGCAGGCCATTATTTACAATTCATGAGAGTACCACATGAGATTTAGGTTGTATGGAGGTGAAGCCAAACCAAACTAAGATTACACAGACTGAGACCTTTTTTGGAAACCCAGGGGAAAAGTGACCTTTTAAGTAGCACCTAGCAAAAGTGATTCATACCTCGAAAAGTCAAACGTTGATGCAGAAAATGTGTCAAAACACTGCAAGTAAAAGCATGACACAGGAAGCATTGTTATGGATTATGGACTTGTATTTTGGCCAGAAGTTAAAATGCCTTGATGGATTTGTTTCTTACAAACGCGCAGCTTTTCACTTCACAAGACATTAATTGATGGGCTGGAGTCATGTCGATTACTTGTGAATTACCATTGTGATGTTTCTTATCAGCTGTTTGGACTCTCATTCTGACGGCATACATTCACTGCAGAGGATTCATTACTGAACAAGTGATGTAATGTTTCAATTTAAAATCTGTTCCAATGAAGAAACACACATCTACAGCTTGGATGGTCAATTATCAGCAAAGCAGTTACTGTTACTCCACTACCAAACAGCTGCTGGTCCCCACTGACTTCCATAGTATTTTTTTCTATACTATGGAAGTCAGTGGGGACCATCAACTGTTTGGTTACCCACATTCTTTTTTTAAATATCTTCATTTATGTTCAACAGAAGAAAGAAAAAACATAAAACTGTCAAAAGTATGATTTGTTTTCCATAATAACGGCAAAAATTCAATTCAAGTGTATTTGTATAGCGCTTTTCACGATACAAATCGTTGCAAAGCAACTTTACATTTTACTTTTTCTCTAAAGTCCCCTTTTAAATATTAGTCAAGCTTTTTGCACAAACAACTTCATAATAATGGTTTAGTTATAACAATTTTCTACACTCATTCTTTGGCTCTCAGAATAATTAAAAAAAAACATTAATTAAAAATTCATTTTTGCTACTGTGCCTTTAAGACTTATGTAAACATTCTCTTTATTGGCTGAACAAGATTTTACAGTTGGACTAAAATGTGTCATATTTTACTAACATTGGATTTTTTCAGAAGAATATGCAGGGTAGTAGGTACTACACCTTTTTCATTAGTTATTCCTTGAAGTAATTTGAATTTTATTTTAACAGCATCGATCTTCATTATTACATCACCGTGACTGGGTGAGACACCAAAAAAAGGCATCACTGATGTGTAACTGCATGAAATTTTCTAGGTTTCTGTCATCAGAAATAAAAAAATTTCAGAACAAGCCATTGTTTGCAGCCTAGTTTCAATATATAATTTTTTTTGGACTGGGGAAATTTTGAGTTGTTAAACTTACAGTTTTTTTTTATAGTACAGTATGCTTTCATAGCACATAAAATAATTTTTTAATAGAAAAGAGAAAATTTAATTTTTTATATTAATGATTCGCTTAAAATTGAAATAAACCAAATCATAAACAGCGATCTTGCATAACTGTAAAGGCTTACAAACGTACATGGGTATTTAGATCGCAAACTGAAATGTTCACATGAAGCTGCTATTTTACAGTTTTATGTGGACGTACCCTGTGATACATTACATCATGCAAAACTCAATTTTACTTTTTCTCTAAAGTCCCCTTTTAAATATTAGTCAAGCTTTTTGCACAAACAACTTCATAATAATGGTTTAGTTATAACAATTTTCTACACTCATTCTTTGGCTCTCAGAATAATAAAAAAAAAACATTAATTAAAAATTCATTTTTGCTACTGTGCCTTTAAGACTTATGTAAACATTCTCTTTATTGGCTGAACAAGATTTTAAAGTTGGACTAAAATGTGTCATATTTTACTAACATTGGATTTTTTCAGAAGAATATGCAGGGTAGTAGGTACTACACCTTTTTCATTAGTTATTCCTTGAAGTAATTTGAATTTTATTTTAACAGCAACTTCATTATTACATCACCGTGACTGGGTGAGACACCAAAAAAAGGCATCACTGATGTGTAACTGCATGAAATTTTCTAGGTTTCTGTCATCAGAAATAAAAAAATTTCAGAACAAGCCATTGTTCGCAGCCTAGTTTCAATATATAATTTTTTTTGGACTGGGGAAATTTTGAGTTGTTAAACTTACAGTTTTTTTATAGTACAGTATGCTTTCATAGCACATAAAATTATTTTTTAATAGAAAAGAGAAAATTTAATTTTTTATATTAATGATTCGCTTAAAATGAAATAATTAATAATTAATTAGTATTAATAATAATTAGTATTAATAATAATTTATTGAAATAAACCAAATCATAAACAGCGATCTTGCATAACTGTAAAGGCTTACAAACGTACATGGGTATTTAGATCGCAAACTGAAATGTTCACATGAAGCTGCTATTTTACAGTTTTATGTGGACGTACCCTGTGATACATTACATCATGCAAAACTCTTCAATCATTTACATATCGCAAGTTATTTCTTGTGTACCTGTTCTTTACTTGAGGGGGTGGGGCTTGTGGGTGACAGAGGTGCAGTCTGAGTGGCTTTCGGCTCACTGGCAACACCTACAGGAACTTCAGGGACAGAACTGAGCCTGCTGTCATTCACAGGCCCCGCCTTCTGAAGCTCTGAGGCCGCAGCACGCTCAGCTGTCCGAGGGGAGAGAGGGGAAGGGATGCGTTTAGTACGTGCATTCCTGAGGTTTCATCCTATTTCAAAATAATTCAAAATAGAGGAGACAAACTTCAAAGTAAAAGAGAGAGTGCATGCATGTGCCAGACGGATTTAAAGAAGGGGGAAATGATGCTATAAGGAACGATTATAGTTCAGGTGAAAAGGAGGTAGCAGGAAGAGAAAAACAGGAAGTAAGGGACATGAATAACCTCCTCCGATGCTGAATGAGCCGTCATCTTGGCGATGAATAAGAAGATTATGAATATGCACAGCGATGGGTGTGGCCTCAGGCTCTGATGTGTCGTCACGGGGACCATCATCCTGATTTAAACACATATTAGTTCATACATGCTGGTTCTTGTGTAAAACGTGAACTGTCTTGCAGATCGTTAGGTTTTGGAATTGAGGGGCTGTGCACAAATCACACATTGTTTGAAGTGAATTAAAGTATGTACCAAAATATTAGTACTGGTGTTAAAAAATTAAATATCAATATCATGTGTCGTAAATAATCCAGCACCAGAAGCTAAAACTGTCACACAAAATCATGTCAAGAACATGACAGATGAAAGCGAGACGTACACCCAAAAAACACTCATGTTTTAAATGTGATTCATTGGCCAAAAAAGAAAAAAACCAAAATAATCATAAGTGATTGATAATTCTGATAAAATCTGATATTGTGACAGCCTTAATGTCTTGTGTCTAAATGTACCTTCAGATTGACGTGTGTATCTTTAATGGTGATCTCCATGGGGAGAACCTGGGAGGTGGAGTCCTCCTCTAGGAACAGGGCGAGGTTTCGCAGTGATGCCATGAGGAAGTCAGCACTGAAGCCCTGTAGGCGGCACTGCAGGAAGCCATTCTGTTTGGCCAGAGGAGAGTGAACCGCAGCTCCCGGACCGCTTTCCAGCCTCACCTGCACCTCTGGATTTAACACCGCGCTGGGCTCCGACCCTGACCCAGAGCCTATGAGAGAGAGATACACATGAGAAATTAAGTAATGTGCTAATATTATCCTTAACTGACTTTAGAAAATGTGTCAAAAATTTTCTGTAGGTTTAAAGGTTCTTAGTTTTGATCCATGAATTGCTTCGTTCACACTGACAGTTGGGCTCTTCAAGTGAGGTATACTGTAATTACGATTTCTGAGCACATGACCAAGCAAATATCTGTCAAATAAATGTCATATCTGCAAGTATT